CTTCCTGGCTGGGGACCTCGGGATGATCATACCCGATGGTTAAAGACACTGAGTGATATGGCTGGGTGTCGCAAACAGTTGCGTTCGTGTATCTTATCGATTTCTCTGCAAAATTAGTGCAATTAAATCCTAAATTTTGTCTTCTATCCCACTTTCAACTTTCCTGTCTTTCTCCTTATATTCATCCAAATGGGCAGCCAAAAGACAGCAACCAAAACCGGCGCACGAATATGCGTGGTTAATGGTTGTAGAAACTGAAACTGCACCTGAAACACAGGTTGTTTCGTTATTTATGAATGCTGATCTTTTCCATAAAAATTTGGAGCAATATGCACTAATAATTAGCATCTCCTCTCAAGTTTGCTATTTACTGAAGAACAATACTTGTTGATCACATTGTATGGTATTTTGTACTCTCTCTGTTACATCAAAGATATCATCTCCTTTTGCACTCGCTAACTGTTCGCAACGAAATCGTCTTTGTTACAAATTTTTATTACTAACAAGTTCTCACTGAGTGTTTTTCCAAGATCTTTTTCCACTTGTTTTATTTTAATTTCTCAAACAGAACTCTATCTGATTGAAGCAATCATCATTTGCTTGACGCGTCTTCTCCCACTTCTTCCGGCTGACTCGGAAACACATCAACCATTGTTCTGGGTTGCTCTCGGGGTGCTCCAACTGGATGAGGTTTCTTTATACGCTGCCGGTTTGGCTTTGCTGGAGCAAAATTTGCTGACCTTGGATCAGCATGGCACATTTGATCGCGATGTGAGTCACTAGACTATAATTGTGACCAACATAAATGACTAACACAAAAGACATTTACTGTTGATTTGACTTAATTTCTCCTGTGTCAATACTCGAACAAAGCCGCTATCTTTTTCTCATTCTCAACCCCTTCGGTAGGGTGCTAACATGTTTTGGCAACTGATGTAACATCGTTGTGGCCCTTGAAATTACTCCAGAAAATACAATAACATACCCAACTTTTTTTAAAAGGAGCCTTTTGTAACAAGATTAATTGGTATTTGTTCTCTCTCTTAGTTGAAGAATGCGGCAATGTTTACGGTTTCACAAGGGTCATTTTCCTGCATTTGCAAACAATTCACTATGGTCATACTCTGATTGTTTATTTTTCCTTTTACTGAAACACTCGTGTTTCGCGAGAACACGCTCATAATCTTTCGTTTCGTTGTTTAAATTATTGCGGCCAGTTGAGGAATTCAGCCAAAATTCTTTTGGAGTCATATAACGATTTGCTTGAATCACTCTGATCCGTTGGCAATAATACACATGCTATCCTGTGAGTGTATAGTCGGATTTGATCGGATCGCAATGGTATTCTGAGTTAATGGAAGTGATACCAAAGGTCGAGTAATATAATGTACTTTGAATCCATTCATGAATAAATTTTGATTTACAATACACCTGTGGGGATGGATCTGTTGCGATTATTGGGAATACTTTATTTTTTATCCGATATCAGGTTTGGAATATTTCCGACTAAGTCATTAAAAATTAGGGTTAGCGCTAAATCAAGTTAGGCTATTTGCCTGGAGTTCGTTCTCAGAAAACTGGTTGTGTCATTTTGCGTATGAAACGCAGTGCTTGTCTGATCAGCTGTTCTACGATCAAATGGGTAGTATGCTAGCCGTCTGTCTGGGGAATTCTCTATCGGGTCGATCGATCTGTTGATAATACCTAACCAAGCGGAAACAGTACTAGGCAACTTTTCTCCTCAGTTTTCGTTTGTTCCGTTTGATAAAACTCCTTACGGATTCTCAATCGTATGCTCTTCTTGACGGATTAAATGAAGCAGAGACTGTTGTTCTGAAGACCACTACGGGATTTCTGATCAGCTCCGTTACTTTTCATTCATTTTTTGCATAGTTAAAGCTGGCTACACACTGAAGCTGCTTTATATATNACATTACAAACAGTCATGATGCGATGTCGTGAGCAATTCATTTTACAATATAAACAAATGGATCATGCGGTTGGATTGAGTTTCCGAGACAGTTTTCATTTTGCTCTAGTCGGTCATCTGCTTAAGGGATTCCGACATCCAGCACCGAAGACTGTGGCCCGAACTATTCGTGTCCTAAACACTTTACTGGGTATTGTTGCCAAACCCACAAATCGGTAAGCATTCCACACCGTACAACTTTTTCCACTTTCACTTAGCTATCTTTTATTCCGTGTCTTCCGTTGTGCTTCAGCTTATTTATTATTTATGCAAATTCCAGCCAGCTGTGTTGCAAACATGGTTGAGTTTATAACACGAGATCCATGGATGGAACGGATCTCACTGAAAAACTTGGGCGTCGTGCTCATG